ATCTGGTAACATGAACAATCATTGTCACCTAGTCTGGTCAATATACAATATCAATTTTTGTCAATCAACCATAAGCTCGTATTTTCTTTTTACATATTATAATTAGCAACAACTTATACGAATTTGTAACTAACTGAAAAGAATAATTTTAACTTAAACGTTATTAATATTACATTAAAATACATTAGTTTGAGTTAAAGTAAATCAAGCAACAACTTAATTAACAATTATTTAATTGATATATTGGATGAAAGTAATATTTGAACATTTAAAATATCACAACAAAGTTATTATTTATTTTTTATATATAAATATTGAGTATATAACTCGACAACAACAGTGTACCGTGAGAGAACATTGTTATAAGGGGTAGGTAATTAATTTAAAATAAAATAAAATAAAAAATAAATGAAAGAAAGAAAGAAAAAATGTTGAAAGTTTGTATTAATCGTTAGATTTATTAATTCGTTGGTCCTTTCCCAAAATCATTGGAGTTTCATTCCAAACATACTCTGGCAAACAACAACCGCCATGCTGTTAGGTACCCATTTATCAACCTGTATTGCTCTAACCATCTTCCGCGTACGTGCTAAATGTCTCCGTCCACTCGTAAATCTTGCTCTCGCCGGTTTTCTTTCTTCGTCAACTAGGTACGGCTCTTTTCGGCCATTCTCACAGTCTTTCATCTTCCAAGAAATACCACAGCTGTGCCCTTCTCCTCCTCCTCCTCCTCCTCCTACTCCTACTCCTTCATCATTATTTTTTCTTCTCTTTTTTTTTTTTTTGCAACGCACGTACATACTTTTACTTACGAGCACAGAAAAGAAACAAAAAAATGAATAACTACGAAAGATATAATATTTTTTGAACTTAATATATATTTGTATCTTCCATATTTCTAATCAACATGCATGGTTTTGCATCTTAAAGAGAAAAAATAAAACCATCCTTACTTATTTACTTACTTTAATCCAACTAATCGGCTAGGAATATATTTCAAAGTGTAAATCATCTATTACAGGAGTTTGCTAAAATCCTTCATAAATCAAATTTAATGGTCATACATCACGGAATTTTTGTGAACGTATTTCATCTCGATCGCGTGCTTAAGAAATCCTACAAGCAACACCTTGAAAATGTGTCTTTTTTTCAAATTATCGGTTCGCCATCTTCATTAGAAGAATATCTTTGCGTCGTTGTTATTACTCGACGCAAAAGAGAATATAAAAATTGTGATTTATTTCTTTTTTTTTTCTCATCCCCTGTCTTTTACCCCCGTCACGAACTTTGCCTACAAGATAATTTTCGTAAAAAGGAAAATGAAAACTAAAGAAGAAAAAAAAAGAAAAACTGAAAGGTTAGGTTTCGAAGAAATAAGCGGCGTCCATCTTGTTGACGCGTCGATCTAAGGGCCACTAAGGTTGACTAATAAAAAATCAAACAGAATCAAAATAGTGAGAAAGAATCAACAGTTGAGGTTCCTATGAATAAATATCAGCAATTCATTTTGTTTTATTTTTATTTTATGGAAATAGGAAAAACAACTAATACCACTTGTTAGGATCGAGAATACCTGTTGTGTTGTTAATGGTCTAACAGTTTGATTATTTGACTGCAACTAATTATGTTACAATATAACGTTGAAATATGTTCTTACCGCGAACGGAAATCCTAGGTAGATCTTTGCACCAGGATGATAATCGTACACAAACGTTCCTCGGCATAAACTGTTTGCCGAACTCTTTGGTACATTCAGACGGATATGTTGACAGTAAGATGTCACGCGTTCCTCAAACAATCCCGTATGTTTTAGAAACACGTTTGGTAACTCTAGACGAACGAAACTAACGTGAATAGAGGGCGGAGCCGGTGAAAGTGGTAATTGAGTACAACCTCGTAGGGGAATTTGCTAAGCAATTAAGATACGCGATTACAATGTTCAATTTTTATTATCACTGCGATAAATCTTGAAAGAAGAACCAAACTGTCATATTCCTATCGAAACTATGCTATTCCTTACTTATACTTTGTTTCTTGTCATTTCTTTTTTATCTCTTTCTTATTTTTATTCTTACAACTTTTACGTTCATACTTTCTTCACGATCGTTTGCTTTTAAATGAAAAGAAAAGAAAAAAAAATACCACGTTGTTTATATTACAGCACCAAAACCGAATGGCAGGCGTTCGAGAAAACCGGGAATCGATAGAAAACCAAGACAAGCTTATAGCGCTAAACAATTGGAAAGACTCGAAGCGGAATTCAAGGTACGTTTTCCTTTTTTCTTTTTCTTTTTTTCCCTTATAGTTCTCTTTGATAAATAATAAAATAATATTAATAAATAATAAAATTCTGTGATATTCGCAGATCGACAAATACCTAAGCGTGAGCAAACGAATGGAATTGTCTAAATCATTGAATCTGACCGAAGTACAAATAAAAACTTGGTTTCAAAATCGACGTACCAAATGGAAGAAACAATTGACGTCTCGACTGAAGATAGCACAGAGACAAGGATTATTTCCACCGACTTATTTTCCAACAAACCAGTACCCTTTGTTACCCTACTACGCTGCACCCTTAATGTTTGCGAACCCTTCGTTAGATGATACTAACAGCAACGTTACGACGATACAACAGCGTCCTGTATTACCGTCGTCTGATACTGTCTGAACAAAATTCATCGACTCGTTCAAAAATGTTACACGATGTATTCGTTTATTTTTGTATATTTTCATTTTCATTTTCATTGTCATTTTATTTGTTCACATTTACAAATCGTTACTTTCCTTTTTCTTTTCTTTTCTTTTCTTTTCTTTTTTTAGACCCATCGTCATTTTTGTGATCAAGATTTATAATTAAGATTAATAATGGAACACTCGAAGAGCAGTGTTCTCGACTTGTACATAAATAAATCCTTCATGGTAATAAACATATATATATATATATATTATATATGTAAATACGTTTTTACGATAGAAATGTATAGACAACATTTTTTCGTTTTTTTTTTCAACTATGAATTATCGTAATATAATATTTGTTACACTATTAAGAATTCATTTTCAAATCGAGCGAAGACGTCTTGGGATCGTCTCGAATATACTTTTCCAAGATAGTTTCTATATTTACCATTCTAAAGAGAAAAGCTCAAAGGATTATTGCTTACCTCCAAGCAATTTAAGCGATATCAAATACCTCAGATCCTAGAATCCTATCACTGAACTGAAACTAATTGAAACACCGAGTGACATTATTTATTTGATTAAACTTTACTAACGGTAATTCATATTTTGCAGGTTTACCTATAAAACAAAATACGATTGGATTAAAATGGATTTCTAGATGGATTTATCGATGAAAAAATTTAAACGTGATCCGCGTGGTATTAAAAGTTAATATACTTTTTTTTTTTAATGATAAAATTCAATGACAGATCGAATTATATTCTATTATTTTCTTCAGGTTGCCTTTCTTTTTCTTTTTTCTTTTAAAAAGAAGATACGAAGACTTCGAAGAAAGAAGAAATAAATTAGAACATTATAGTTTGTACCGCGAAAAAAAAGTCCTTATTTTTTTCGAGTATATCGAACCGATGAGAGGCAAAATTATTAATGAGAATTACACTGCTTTGTCCTTGCAACAAGGCTCGTGCTTTTTTTCTTCGTTCGGTTTGCACGATTTTAATGAATCCTCGGTAACACAACCAACCGTACGTTTTACAGGACAAACCGTATGTTTAACTTTTGGAAAAAGTCGAAATTTTTTACGTTTTTTCTGTTTTTTTGGTTTAGATGGTTTAGGTGGTTTAGGTGGTTTAGGTGGTTTAGCTGTGTCAACTTTTGCATAGGACGTACACGTATCTTTAACTTTAATTCGTATCGATGATTTGATAGTTCTCACGTGAACAGGAAATTTGATCGGACTGCAACTTTTCTCAATTGTTTCCGTTTCATATGCTTCAATACTCTTATCAGAGCAAATTGGTTTAGGACCGATAGCTGCTGCAATGGCTAAAGAATTTTCGGTACAAAGGAAACAACAACTTTTCGTTATATCTCTCGTTAATATTTCACGATCATTGCTGATATTTGATTCACGTATATCTCTATTATCGGTAGCGTAGGAAACTGATTTTTCTAAACGTGACGAGTCTTTTGATTTACGTAATTTTTCTGCCTTTTTTTGCGCTTTGAGTTGTTTTCTTTCTTCGGCGGATACTTTCGATTCCAAATAATTACCCATTTGAAGTCCCTTCTCTTCCCTCGTCGATGTACCGGATCTGCTTTCCTTTAAAATAGAATCCGCATCTTCTTCCTTCGAATTTGTCTTCGTTTTCTTCCACAATTTCTTGGCACGTTTATTTTTAGAATTTGTAGAAATTTTAGATTTTTCCTTCGTCGTTTTACCCTTTATTTCAATTTCCTGATTCTGCTTCTGCTTCTCCTCCGGCTTCTTCTTCTTCTTCTTCTTTTTCTTTCCTCTGAAAATTTTGACACACCATAATTGAATCTTTTTACGTTTCGTCTGCTTTTTAGTCTCAGTACTCTCTTCTTCCACTTTTCGCGTGTCGATTTTTTTCTCTTCCTTTGACTTGGCTGTTCTCGGATTTGTGGATCCGTCCAAATTTAAGGATTCTATTTGAAAATAGCATGGATTTGACGTAGGAATTTATATTATTTTTCCAATTCATTAAACCCACCTGTTTTATTCATTATCAAATATCCATATTTAAGGTTAGATGCATGTTAATTGTAGAAGTTAAATATAAACGGTAAGACGCTGTGATTGACTTTAATAAACAATTCATTCGCCTCGCCGCGTCACGATAATAAACGTTATTATGATTTTTTAATAGTATCGCTAATACATCTAAAGACGACACTTTTCAAAAATGATCTCTCACCGTAAATTACATAATATCAAAATTTACGGATAAAAATGATTATTTTTATCGAGATTTTTAAATCGAAATTCATAGTTATAATTGACGTATTTAAAATATTCTCATAGTTTCTAAATATATCCGATGAATTTTAGTTAAGTAATCTAATAGGTTTGAAGTAATTTAATAATTTCTAGTAATGAAATTATCGATTTTTGTAATCCAGTAATAGCCGAGTAATTTGAGTGGGATTTGAGTAACCAGAGTTTCCAAATTGGCCAAATTGTTCCAAGTTATCGGATAACTTTGAACGAGAATCGACTTACGTGCAACCTTCGATTACAAACAGAAGCGTACTACGTTACAAAAACAATACAACGCAAATTTTTCCAAAGCTTTTATTATTTCAAACACACTAATATAATCTTTAAACGAATAATTTCAATGATATAATGAATTAGAAAAATTCACGTTAAGTGATATCCAATCGAAACGTCAAACTTGAATTCGTTTTGCGCGGGTTGCGGGCATATTGATACTAATTTCTGCCACAAGAGGATGCTGCGAGCGCGCGACAGTGGCTCCTCCTACCGTTGCGAGCCGTAATAAAAATCAAGATGGCCGCGACCTAGTGGGAGCCAGTTGCATCTGAACGCTTAGAGTAGGAGGGTGAGAGGGTAGAATAAAATAATGTCGGCAGGGAAGTCGTGGTTGAAACAGTGGTAGGACTGTCAGCAGTGCGTCGACAGTGGCGACTGTGACTCAAGAAAGGGAGAAAAGAGAAGATAAAGGAAGAAAAAAAGAAAAGGAGAGGGAGTGAGCGCGAGAGAGGAGGGTGTGCGTGTGTCGAATTTATCTGGTGCGATGCGTTTGCCAAAATTTGAGTCGTCCTTTCGAACGTGTGCGTGAGAGTGAGTGAGAAAGAGGGAGATAAAGAGAGAGAGAGAGAGAGAGAAGACCTTGTGCGCGTGCGAGAGAGAGAGAGAGAGAGANGAGAGAGAGAGAGAGAGAGAAATATAGTGTATATGAGTGAGATAGGTTGATAGTTGTGTGTTGTCTTGAGAATCAAGCGAGCCTGTGCGCTTCGCTAGGCTGCATAAGAAAGAAATAAAGAAAGAAAAAAAGAAATAAAAGGAAGGAAGGAAAGAGAGTAGGAAAAATAAAAGAAAAAATAAGGGCGGAACGTTAGTTGCAGTTGTCCGCGTTGTCCAGCGACACACACGAGCCCTGATTCTTTGTGCTTTGTGTCGTCATAGTCGTTCTCTCTCTCTCCTCTTCTCTCTGACATCGCGTCTATCGCGAGGAAGCTGGAAACACGATGGCGTATGTAGTGTTCGTCCGTTAGAGTAGTAGAGAGACCCTGAGGAAGGATCTTTCGATAGACAGAGAAGGGGAAGAAAAATAAGGGACGAGTTTGTGGTAATAAGTGTGTGGAACAAGAAAATAATAATAATAATAATAATTTAAGTAAAATTAAACGCGAAGTTGGGACGACGACACTTGCAGAAGCGAAAGAAAGAATCGAAGAAAAATTCAGAGCACAGAGTATATTTTCTCTGATGGTGGTAGTGGTGATAGAATAGTGGTGTTAGTGATGATGTTGGTGTTGTATAGCAACTGAGACTGCTGGTATACACGGAATGATAATAGGAATCGATTGAACAACAATAACAACAACACAACAACAACAACAACAACAACAACAACTATGGATTATCAATCAAAATAATCAAGAAAATTTCATCTAACAATAAGTTTTCTTTCTTAAAGTGTGTCTCTACTTCTAGTGTGATTTTACTTCGATGTGTTTTATTTGTGTCTATCGTTTTTGTTCACTCGATAAATAATTATTTTACAATTGTGAGTTTAGCAATGGTGCGTTGCCAGTTTTATCATAGTTAGAACAATTCTGGCGTCATAGGCGCGTCATGTCAATCCCATTTGTCATCCTATTCGTCAACGTTTTTCATACTCCGGTTACCGACTTCTTTTTCGTGAAATTGAATTATTTGTAATACGACTCTCCTCAAGTTTTATTTCTCTCCTCTCTCTCTCTCTCTTTCTCTCTCTCTCTCTCTCTTTTTCTCTCTCTTTATATATCTCTTTCTCTCTCTCACACACACACATACACACTTCCTTCCTATTTTTCCGTCTCTCTTGTTGATTTAAAAGAATTATATTATTCCTAACCTCACTCTCTTTGCCACTCGTCGTGTCATAACGTCATCGTCATCCTCATCGTTAAGTTCAACGTCAACGACCTTGCCTGCGTGTGTGTATATGTGTCTTTTTTTCTTTCTCACACTCTCTCACTCTTTTTCCCTCCATTGTCTCTAACCCCCCCTCTCTCTCTCTCTCTCTCTCTCTCACTCTCTCTAACTCTCTCTCTCGTTCTCCGTTATTTTTTATTGTTGTTATTATTTTCTCATCGATCACTATAAGTTTCGTCAAAAAAAAAACTGCTTCAAGAAAGAAGTGATAATCGAGGAGGAGGAGGAGGAGGAGGAGGAGGAGGAGGAGGAGGTGGAAGCGAAGGAGTTTGATATTTTTTTTACCCTCTAACGTGATTCTTTTTCATTCCCTTTTCAAGGACTTGGTTGATGGAATAAAGTAAAAAAAAGAAAGAAAGATAGATAGATAGGATAGATAGATAGATAGTTAGTGAAAGATAGTTAAAAAAAAAAACAAAAAAGAAGAAGAATAATAATTATAGTTACGATGATCAGTGATACGTGCGGATACGTCCCCTTCCTGCTACTGCTGTTGCTGGTTCCATACATCGAAAGCGGTAAGTCCATGTAACTCTCTACTCATACATACGTACATATATAGATATATATTTATATATATATATTTTATACATATATTTATTAGGTTGCTCGAAAAGCGTATCGAATTTACGCGTTCACATTATTCTCAAATACTGCACGAACTATTCTTTTTTTTTTTTTTTTATTTTTTCGAAAGTTAATGAAAATTCCATTAGATTGCCCGAAAGATTTATGCTTGAAAAAAAAGGAAAAAAAAAAAAAAAAGAAAGAACGAACGAAACTGTATTTTATTTAATAGAAATATCTATCGCGAATCGTAAAATATATTTATTAATCGATAGAGAGAAATTTTCCAAACCAACAATGCATTCGTATACCACATGTTTCTATGGGATAACTTCAGTAATACGTGTATGTGTTGTTGGTACGTTTGACTCTCGAGTATCGTCATATTCGTCGCGACGTCCGGTAAAATGTGTGTTGTATATGTATGCATCGGCACACGAATAAGAGAAAAAGGGACAGAAATATATGCGTGATACGTTGGTATAGTAGGTGATAGCAGCTGTTAGTGTGTGTTGTGTTGGAACTCTCTCTTTCTCTTTCTCTCTCTTTCTCTTTTTATACGTCTCTGTCTGATTCATTCTCTTCCTCCTCTTTTTTTCTTTATATATATTTTTTTTTGTTCATACCCCATGAATCATCCTTCCACGAAGAGGAGCTAGCTCATCGCGTGTTCTTTTTTCCCTCTCCCCCCTTTTACCAACACCAACACACGCACACTTGCATATACACAACCACGCGTAAATATATCCTACGTGTATGCGTTTTTATGTGTGTAGAAGGAAAGATTCGTTGCTCCTGTTAAAAGATGCACCACCACCACCCGTGGGAATATATCTTTAAATATGCTTCTTTTTTTTTCTCCTTTCTTTTCCTTTTTTTTTTTTTTTTTTTGAACTTTGTTTCCCTTCTATTTATTCCCTGTTCAGATAACCAACAAAAAAAATGTCGACTCGTTAAATAACCCTCCTATGTGCGAGCTAGTTTTATTTTTATTTTTATTTAAATACAGTGCACGCGGGCAACTTTTAATATGTCTATTGGCTTAAAAGATGCACCACCACCACTACCACAATTACCATCACCATCCGTAGGAATATGTCTTTAATTCGCTTTTTATTTTTTTGTATAATATATATATATATTTTTAACCGATAAATTTTTACCCGCTTAGACGAATCCCAAAGAATATTTTTATTTTTGTTATACCCATATATATATACAAAACTTGCAGACATTTTATATATATACCTTTAAAAATAACCCCTTTTTTGCAATTGTTTCATTTCTATTTTTTTTTTTACTTTTCTACGCGTTAAAGCCGAAAAATTTGGTATTTTTGTCAACGATCCCTACGAACATTTCATTTCAATTGTATGAAATATCGTACAAAATAACTTCTTTTTTTTTCGTAATCATTATCTTTAACAATAAGAAATTAACGATAAGTAATTTCTATTTATAGATTTATCCATTCTTATCAAATATTTCTAACTTATTAGTATTAAACAACCATCTCGTTTTATCTTTGATAAACATGATATATATATCAATATATTATTGTGAAATAAAAATGATATGAGTTGTAACTAAATTATATTAGTTACTTTGAACTGTATCAAAAAGTCAAGTTAACCGAATGTCAGCAAGAGCCTTCCTGGAACTTTGAATCGTAGGATTAGCATCAGCGGAAATCCCAATCAGTGGCCCTTGACGTGACTGGGTGATAGGTACACACAGTTGAGTACTAACGTCATCGAGCTTTCAAATGTGTGTGTGTGTCTGTGTTTGTATATGACGATAGAGGGAACACTAGGTGGAAGAGGTGGAATAAGTGGGGGGAGTGTGGGTGGTGTATGAGGTGGTCGACAGTTAGAAAGGAAAGAGGGGAACACGTTCGAGATCATCCTAGCTTCATTCAAGGCAAACAATCTGCTCGGACTTGATTGTCTCTACTAGCTCGCGTCGATTTTCGAATTATGTCATCATTTCGATCTTCATTTTAGTTAGATTTATTCGAACAATAGTTTTCAACAAGGGTTGTGAACACAACACTATTATAAAAGATTAAAATCAAAATATTTACTAATTATTTTAATATCATATATTTATTAAATTTAGAAATAAGTTTTTAAATTGTACCACTTGTGTGTGAATAGATAGAAAGATCAATTAAACGAAATTAATGTTTTTGAAAAATCTTCATTTTCTTTTTGTTTTGTTTTTCTCTTTCTCCTTTCAACGAATAGCAGTTTTAATTATACAAACAAGAAAAATTCAATTAACGTTTAGATATACTTCCGAGATTCTTTATAATTTTTATTTAAATTTCTCTTATCTTTTTTTCTTTTTTTTTTTTTTTAAATCGCAGTCTCTCTGAAACGTTTTTTGTAACTTTTAAGAAGTTAGGCAGAAAAGCTTTTATAATTCGAATTTACTAGCGTTGTTGGTTCTCATGCATTGTCTTATATTATCTATCCTTTTCTTTCCTCCAATAAGAAGGTAGACACGAGAAGAGATCTTCTCAGTATGCTTTTAGCGAAAAGAGCAGGTGGAAGCTCTTTGGTTAATGAAAATATCGTAGGAAGAAGGAAAGGAAAGGAAAGAAAATCAACGTTGTCGTGTAGCATCGTTCGGAGACAAAGAAGAAAATCGTCAATTCTTGAAGGAAGGAAGGAAGGAAGGAAGGAAGCACATCAGGACGATGAAAAGTGTCTACGGAATATAAAGATGAAATTAGGAAGATAAAGGGTGAAAGAGAGAGATAGATAGATAGATAGATAGATAGAAATAGCATAAGGTTGTCTGATGTTGCTATTGCTTCTTCACAGTTCACATTTATCTTATTCTTAAGGGGTTACATGGGTTTACACCGGGAAAAAATATCATATTTTCAACAATTTTTTTTTCTATATAAAAAATAGAATTCTTATTCAAACTTTTTATAGTATTTAAGATACATATTTAAAGAAGATTTTCTGAATTTTTGGTTGAAAAATATTTTAAACTCAGCCGTTGCAACGTCATTTCCGGTGACCCCACCGAAAAAAAGTGTTTTCGCGTTGACAGCAGAACTTATAAACGGTGGGGGTTTTTCTGTTGAAAAAATAGGGTCTTTTAGTGAATACTTAAAACTAGAAACTGGACGAAGGAAAAAGAAAAAAATTGAAATTTGGATTTTTGCCAACGTTTTTAGCAAGAACATTCAAATTTTGCTACAATTTGCACCACATTTAGGTTTCTTAAAATTCAATTTTATGAAAAAAACGAAAATCCTTCGTCCAAGTCCTTGTCAATAGTATCACGAAGACGTGTAGCAAATTTCATGAAAATCGGTTAAATAGTTTTCGAGAAATCTTGACAACCGACTTCAGAAAAAGCGTTTTGAGAAAACCGCGTTTAAAGATTTGAGTGTTGGTATAAGAGCCATTATAGAGTGGAACTTCCCAGGGCTCTATCTTTAAAACTACTACTCCTATCGACTTAAAAATTGAATACAATATTTTACATGAGTTGTAGAATTGAAAAAAAATAAAAAAAAAAAAAATTTTTTTCAAAGTCCCATGTAACCCCTCAAGGGTATCAAACAAAAGGATAAGTTTTAAGTGGAAATAGATAGTACTAGTCTGATATTAGTGTAAGATCTAAAATTAGGACCTGCAGCAAGTGCAGTCAGTTTATCGTCGTCTATCATTACAGATGAAACAACCCCCCAATTGCGTGCTGGCCTTCCCACCGTCTCCCATTTATCCTCAAAAATGATTTCTAATTTCTTCTCATCCATAATTTCTATCAATTTTCTTTCAACTTTCTTCGAAGAACCCAAGAAACTTATATATATATGCATTTGGTTGTAACCGCATAATAATTTTTTCGTATCGTACGTTTGTTCCAAATGAAAAAAGTAAGAGGAACGAAACAGTACGATTATATGGTGCAAACCGAAGAAATAATTTCCAACCTTCTGGTAATTTTATTTTAAATCATCTCGAATACATTTTCAATTGCAATTTCAGTAGAATCAAATTCTGGATTGTGAGAATCGATCGAAAATGCACTGTAATTATGCATACTTTCGATAGAAATTATTTACAATGATACGGAAAATAATTTGTTTCTTGTACTTGGACTGGATTTTTTCGAGATCGTTTTTCTTTTCTGAATGATTGAAAAAAAAAAAAAGAAATAATTTCTTTTTCGCCGTTTACTTTTTTTCTTCTTCTTCTTTTTCTTGCACATTACTGAGTCTGATACCTTTCTTCGAAAGAAAAAGCGTCCTGACACATAATATAAGCTAGCTAGCTGGTGGTGGTGCACCATGCCGCGCCCATGTTGAGACCACCTCGGCTTGAAAGAATTTATAGTCCGTTTTTCTTCAGACGAATGGAAATAAGCATTCCCGACTAAAGCTAAAGCGTTTCTTCGTTCTTTTTAACTTCCTCTTCACCTATTCCTCTCTCTCTTTCTCTGTTTTTATTTTTTTCTCCTGCTCCTTTGCCAACTTTAACTGCTAAACTTTGTCATAAGAGTGAAACGAGATAAACAAGAATTTAAGGGAAATTAAGGAGTATATAATATTAACATTTAATGTTTTATTAATTGCATAGAGAGAGAGAGAGAGAGAGAGAGAGAGAGAGAGATATCTCAATTTAAATTAATAATCAATTTTTATCATGACTAAATGTGATATGACCGATTTTTTTCCATTCGATATGAAAATGTTTCATTTAATTTCAATTATTTTGTTGAATAATATTTTCTATATTTTTTTTAGCTATTTTAAATGACGAATGTTTTCGAAATGAAAAGAGAGGGGGTGGGATGGGGGAGGGAAAAAAAAAGATCATTTCAGTCGTGCTATTTGATTTTTAGCTTTATTCATTTTATATGAATATATATATATCGACGACTCACCGAACCAGAACGAATTGGAAAAACCAATGAACGTACATGA